ATATATATATATAAAATAAAAATGATCATTTATATAAAATAAAAGTGATCATTTATATAACTACAATACTATTCTACAGATAGTGTTAATAATTGTATATTGGATCATATATTTTACATATTTTTAACGTATTTTACATATATTTAACTTGTTCAATTATAATGAATTCATACAAAATTATCATAAGATTCATGAAAATTTTTTTTTTTTTTTAATTTTTATTTTTAAAAAATTTTTTTAAATTTAAAATAACATTTAAAACAGTCAAACTTGAACAGTTTTTAAATTGGAACAATCATTTCTAAAAACAAAAATAAAAATTTTTTGTAGAATTTTTATAAAATCAATATTTATAATTTCTTTTCTTGTTAAGAAAAGTAAGAATAGTGATTTTAATAAATAAATTTTTTTTCCATATTTTTTACACTATTTTTCTTTTAACCATGAAGAAATAAGAAAATCTTCTAGATTACTTAATAATTCAACATTGTAAGAGCAACACTATATTTCACATACCTGCAGGATTTAGTCCACCAGTGTTGGCAGGAGTGGCAAGGCCTCCGAGGCCAAGAGCCGCGAGCCCAGCCAATGGATTGCTACCAAGTTTGCCCATCTGTAACAACGACGAACAAAATCCAACGCTCAACAAAAACACGTATTGTCAGTTGAGGTTAATCAGTTAAAGAAGTGCTTTTGATCAAAGGGGTATATACGAAGACACCGATAAAATAATATCTAAAAAAGGAAGATATCAATCTGCCTGCTTTCCTCGCGTGTCTCACATTCGAGGATCGTTAAACAATAAAAAAAAAAAAAAAATAAGAATAAATCTAAATCTGTATAATTACTAAAAAAAAGAAGAAAAAACAATGATAGAAATAGAAAAAAAATAAGTAAAATGACAAGGAACATCATTCTTTGGATAAAATTGTAAAAAAAAAAAAAAAATCTAAATCTGAATAATTACAAAAAAAAAGAAAAAAAAAAAAGAAAAAACCAAGAAAGAAAAAGAAAAAAAAAAAAGAAAAAACCAAGAAAGAAAAAGAAAAAAAAAAAAGAAAAAACCAAGAAAGAAAAAGAAAAAAAAAAAAGAAAAAACCAAGAAAGAAAAAGAAAAAAAAAAAAGAAAAAACAATGATAGAAATAGAAAAAAAAATAAGTAAAATGACAAGGTACATCATTCTTTGGATAAAATTGTAAAAAAAAAAAAGAAAGAAAGAAAGACAGAGAAAGAGAGAAAAATAAAGAATTCTCTATATTGATCCATTGTCAATGATCCATCGATCGTCTTGGATTTTACAGTCAATTTTTAAAAGTCTGTTTCCATGGTCTCTTCGATCTTCGACCAATAGGATGTCCCGACTTCCTGAGACTTGATCCAAAAAAAAAAAATTCCTTGTCTTTTGTGATACATTTTTTAGAGTTTCTTGATATTTTTTTCTATTCTTTTCTTTTTTTTTTCTTTTCATCATCGTTCTGAAAAATATTATATTCATTCAAGACCACGCATAGTGATATATTCACATGACAACCACACGCAAAGAAAAACTAAAAATACGATAAAATTATTCGAAGAAACATAAGAGAAATGCACGATGATACATATGCAGGCAAGATGAAATTAAATGAATTAATATTGAAATTTAAACATATGATCTCGTTTGAATTTCCCGCCAATTGAATGTGTAATTTGAAAAATTGTCCAGCGTAATTATTCGTGGCTCTTGGACTTAATTATTTATTATCATATATATATAGTTTAATAAAAATAAAATATATTTTAAATCAATGAATAAATTGAATTTTATAATAACGAAAATATATTTTTTTTACGAAATTGTTACGAAGAAAGAAATTGGTTTAAAAAGAGAGACAAAGAAGAAGAAAAGAATTTTTAATAGTCAAATAAATCGAATGTTAATAATAATCAATCTAATGAACGAGGATTTTTCAAAATAAATAAGAAATTAAATTAACCCTCTGTAACTGGAGACAGATTATGATTTATTATAGAAAATAATAATTATTCAATAAATAGATTTGATTTTTTAATCAAATTTAACAATCAAATCTATTTAATTTGATTGTTAAATCAAATTTAATTTTCGAATAAATCTATAGTTTTTCCATTATCTTTTTAATTATCTTTTTTTAATTATCTTAAAAATATTTTTATTATAATTATAGAAATAGATTAAAGATTAGAGAAAAAGTTAAATAAATTATTTATTTCAAAATTTTTGAATGATTAAAATATATTTTAATAGAATTAATATATATTGAAAAATATAAATGCTTTAGATAGGAATTTTTACATATAGGAGAAAAAAGAAAAAAATAATTTTATAACTACTCAATACTTATATACTTAAATATCAATATCAATAGATATACTAAAATATGTAAATTTATATTTCTAATGAATATTACTAATTAATGAAATTTAAATTCATTTCACTTTCTAAATATCTTTTTATAAATAATTATTTATAATAT